CAAAACAAAATATATGATTTGGTTTGGTCTCATTGTCTTGCCAGTTGCACTCTAATGTCATGACATGGTGTAAGATGAACCACAGATGAAGTTTACACCTGAATATGAAGTGCACAGTGGATTAATTTGTTTAAACAATCACCCTTTGCTGATTTGGCTAATAGCCTAACATGTTTGTTATGTGATAACAGCTATAGTAATTTATAGTAATGTTTTTGAAACATACTATAGTTTATGATGCTGTATATATTATTGTATTTAATGAATGCTAGAGTATTCTGTAGTATTAGCCATAACTGATAAACTATTAAAAACTCCAGTAAACTGTGGTGAATTGTAGTGTAATATGTGACCTTATCACTCTTAGAAAAAAGGTGCAACAAAGAACAAAACGGGGGGTTCACATCGATTACAGAGAACATTTTTGTTCTTCATAGTACCGTTCACTAAATGGTTCCTTGAAGAACCTTTCTTTCTTTGGCGCTATTTAGAACCTTTTTTTTTTTGGTACTGAAAAGAAACATTTTAATGGTTATTTAAAGAACCTGTAACAGCTTGGTTCTGTATAAAGCCATTTACCAGAAGGTTCATGACCTAAATGCAATAAATAAAGAAAATCCAGGAAGAATGATTAAATATTTGTTGCCTAAACAATTTGTTTTATACATGTCAGTCAAATTATACAATGTTAAATTAGAAAAACACAAAAGTTGATAGTTTTTATTTTTTTATTTTATATGTCAGTGTTAACCATATGAATTCAATAAAGGTGCAGTGCACACAAAAATTTAAATTTACTATAGCATGTCTTTTCAAAACAGTTGAATACTGTAAAGTCATACTAGGTAATTTACTGTGGAACCATTTTATAGTGCAGAGATACACGTGTGGCTACAAAGAACCTTTTGTGACTTAAATGGGTTCCATCACTGTAAAAAAAATGCAGACTTTCACATATTTAATTCATGTTGCCCCAACACAATTGGATTAAGTTAACACTTTTAAAAAATTTGTGGATAAAACATAAAAAATTAAGTTGTCCCAAGGAAATCTCAAGAATTGTGTTGCTTCAGCTCATTTTAATTAAGTAGTTTGAGCAAGCAAAGAAAAATATTTTTTTGAGTGACGAATGTTAAAGGTTCTTCAAAGAACCTTCTACAGCAACAAAGAACCTTTTAAGAACCTTTATTTTGTGTAAAGTGTAAAGCAGGGGATGCCCAAACTTTTTCTTATGAAGGGCCAAATATCTCAAGCTTGATTGAGGTAAATATAGTTGGATGTGTAAATTCCTTGTTTTTAATAATATTTAAAAATAACTAGAAAATTACATTCATTCATTTTCTTTTCGGCTTAGTCTCTTTATTATAGTTTTTCTCTATTGGTTTGGCTCATTTCTTAAAACAGGAATTACATTCTCAAAACAACATGAACAAACCTCCAAAGCACTTGGCCATTGTTCAGAACAGACTTGATTTTCTCATTCATTTCATTAAATTGCAAATGTCTAAGTACATCTTTGCAAATGATTAAGTAGCCGACATTTAGCACAATTTCCAAATGAATAGATCTAGTGGATCTAAACTGATTTTTGATTTTCAGTTTTCATTGTATAAGTCATCACATGCATAATAGTCTGTTTAATTGTCAAAATTAGTCAAGAACTTAACACCATGAATACCATATATGAATACATGGAACATTTGATACATTTATTACTGCAATTGAAAGTCAGGTGAAAGTAGCAAAAGGACTAACAAAGGAGGAATTTCACACATCTCTGATGACCAATCAAGCACTGTAGGCTGCATATCATTGTTTTTTGTTTGTGTGTTTATAATAAAGTATAATTTGTTTTATTACTGCTGAGACTGCAGCTCTGCACAAGACTTTTGGCCAGCGGAGAAATTAAAATGGTCGTGCCGAACTGAGTCTGGTTCTCTTAAGTTTTTTTTTTTCTTCACTCTCCTATTGGTGAAGTTTTTTTCCCTCTCCCCTGTCGCCACTGGCTTGCATGGTTCAGGATCTGAAAAGCTACTCATCGATGAATTTACTCTTCAGTGTTTGGACTCTCAATAATCACTTCAAACGACACTGAACTGAGCTAAACTGAACTGAACTTAAACACTAAAAACTGAACTACCCTGATCCAGTTACTATGATCATTTATGTAAGCTGCATTGACACAATCTACATTGTAAAAGCGCTATACACATAAAGCTGAATTAAATTGAATTGAATTTATTCTGATGTATGGAAATTACTTTGTGTGTGTGATTGATAATGGTTACAATTTCCTTGGCAGTATGAGTGCAATTTGTGATGTCAAACCTTGGAGGCTACTCTTAAACTAAAATCCTTTATAGAAATTTTAGAAATCTTATTCATTTTATTTAGTTTTATACACAATTGCATTCTGTCAAAAGACAAAAAAACAGTGGAGTAAGCATTTTCAAAAACTTGGCTAAGACTGAAAGGTGGACATGAGGGATATTTCACTGGTCCTCTGCGATAGTGACATAACAACTAAACATTTTGACTTGCAGTGCTTACGCAATGTCAAAGGGACAAAGGATTTTGGGGGCAATGGCTGTTTAAATGAGAAGGAAATTTAGTCTTGTCTCACAAGTGAACAGTTTTGGGAAAGATATGAGCTTATGCAAGTGAGCTATAGTGTTGTGCTAAACTGTAAGACTGTTTTACAAAACAATCTTATAGTGTTGAAAATATAATTCCTGTTTCAAGAAATGAACCAAACCAAATGAGAAAAACTTAAATCTGGGGTCGCCACAGCAAAATAAACCGCCAACTTATCCAGCATTTGTTTTATGCAGCAAATGCCCTTCCAGCTGCAGCCCATGTCTGGAAAACATTCATACACTCATACACTACAGACAATTTAGCCTACCCAATTCACCGCATGTCTTTGGAATGTGGGGGTAACCGGAGCACCCGAAGAAAACCCACCCAAACGCAAGGAGAACGTGCAAACTCCATGCACATAGAAATGACAACTGACCCAGCCGAGGCTTGACCAAGCGACCTTCTTGCTGTTAGGCGGCAGCACTTCCTACTGCACCACTGCGTTGCCAGAACTTGTAACAGTAAAAACTTATTTATAACAGAATGAAGTTGCACTAGTTTTTGCCTTGATTTGCTCGCTAATATCTTTATTTGTAGTCTTCTATCCATCGAGGGATGATATTTACATTTAACAAAAGTTACGTCAAATTGGAAATGATGATCTGTTAAAGGCATTCTCCATAACTCCATCCTTCTCACGGTCTTCTCAGATGTGATGGTGGGCCAAATCAAAGATTACAACCAGGAGGGGTTCGAAAGATCCACCGTCACTGGTAAAAGCTTCAGAATTTGTCCTATGCATGAGCTCATTTGTTTTATTTTGACTGCTATCAATTGTGAAGGCATCAAAGAAAGCTTCCAATAAATGCAAACAATAATAGTCCAACATCTAGTTGAGCAAAAATAAACATAGAATCTGAAATAAGTAAAGTCATCTTTCATTACAAATAACTTTTATTTTGAATCTTGGACCTTATTCTTGGAAAAAAAAACTATATAAAGGTTTAAAGTGGCACATATAAAAGTAATTTTGATACTATCTAGGCTATTTTTGTAATCCATGTTATTTTTACAAAAGAGATTAGAAAACTGAAGCTCTACATTATTAATAATATTATGTTTTTTTTTTTTGTATTATTCAGGTGGCCAAATTCTGTCTTGAGGAGAGTTGAATGTGCTGCCAAGTTTGTCATTTGCACAATAAATTTCAATTTTTTAATTTGTTTTTTTATTTAAAACTTTAACAGACTCATTTTCCCTAATGATATATGATGTAATAATTTTTTTTTTTTTTCATATTTCTTTATTGACGTCACATTGAAACAATGGGTAGCACGATTGCCTCACATCAAACCAGCTTGCTGGTTTGAGCCCCAGCTGGGCTAGTTGGAATTTCTGTGTGGAGTTTGCATGTTCTCCCCGTGTTCATGTGGAATTACACAGGGTGCTCCGTTTTCCCTCACAGTCCAAAGACGTGCTATAGGTTGAATAAGCAAAATTGGCCATGGTATGTGAATGTGGGAGTGTATAGGTGTTTCCCAGTGTGTTGGGTTGCGGCTGTGAAGGGCATCCCCTGTGTAAAACATATGCTGAATAAATTCAAACAATATATTGCAAAATAAATTACAACCTACAACATTTCAATGAAAAGTTTCAATTTTTTTTTGCTTCTCTTGATTTTTTTCTCTTTTTAAAATGTGTATTTAATATTTTTCTATAACATATAAACTTAGGTGTAGTTTTTGGACTGTCATCGCAAGTTAGATTATTTTGTTAGATGAGCTCCAGATATGGCTTCAGTACTGACTAATCTAACGTATATTCACAAATATAATAGCTTTCTATTAAAATATTAGTTTAAAAGATAGATTTGTGAGGGGTGTACTTATATATGATGTGCACTCTATCTTTCCTGTGAGATGTTTGTGTACTGTAGCCAATAATAGAACAAAATTAATCAAACTCTGTCCAGATTCAATAATGGCTGTGCTGAAATGTATTACAGGGGTCATTATTACATAGGCTGACTCTTTAAATGATTTCAGCAGAGTTTACAACATTGGTGACTTCAGCATTCAGAACAGATTTGAAATCATGGGGCTGCACTTTAAATTATATATAAGAAAAATAGTTTTGAATGTTGACTTTTTTTTGTAAATGCTGTCGTACTGCTTCATGCCGTTTTTAAGTTGTTTTGTTACCTGTAGATAAACAGTTTGTAAATGCAAAGAAAAATAATATAAAATATTCCCAAGCTTACTTTGTTCCTGTAACATCACATCTCTGTTATAAACAATAATGTGCTAATGGTTTAAAGACTTGTTGTCATCCACATTTCATACACAGCAATAACTTGTCACAGACTATTGTTCAGAAAACAGTGGTGTTGTGGGGCAAATATGCACGAACAGAAGCTTTTGTTTCAGCTGAAAATATTTTATTCGAGTAGACAACACGGACGCACATATAAAGCGCTAGGTAGCAAACATTTAGGAAAATAAGCTGTTTACGTAGAAAAGGATTGCATCTATAAGAGCTTCACGTTTCAAGGGAGCGCACAAAACCCAAGACAAGATGATCTCGACAACGATTCGACTGCAACATGTGACACAGGGGAGAAAAGTCACTTAATAATTTACACAAAGCCATTGAAAATAAATAAATACATAAATAAATAAAATATTACGAATAAACATATTACAATAATTTTACATCATGATAGTAAGCTGTAATCGTGTGCCGACATTCAAAAACAATCATTACACTTAAGAGTTCTTAAGGCAGTAGTTTGATGTGTATTTCTCTAAAGGCATTTCTGGCTACTAAAGGGAAACTTTTCAAGATTTGTTGTCGTAGTTTTCAGTAAGAAAAGAGAGAGAGAGAGAGAGAGAGAGAGAGAGAGAGAGAACATTTCAGTCCTGTAATTCACATACTAGATTAAAGCTACATACGTGAAACGCACAGCATGTGAATTCAAGGCAGAGGTACATCAACATTTCTTAGGTCTAGGAGCTATTACATTACCATGTGTGCAAGGGTTCTAGAAAAATACCTTTTTAAGGACCAAACTAATACTTTTCTCCAGACTTTTCTAGTGAAGGATTGAATGAAGAAAATAGATCGTTCTAAAGGACGGGCCGGTGTGGGCTCTTCTTCAGCAGGCGTTACGTACGGGCATCTGGAGCAGGATGACTTGTCTGTTTTCGGTGGGGTGGCATTTGTTGATGTGCCTGGTGAGACCCGGCGAGCTGTAGAAAGTGGCAGGGCAGAACTTGCAGGGAAACGCCTGGGCGTCGTCGTGCAGGAGACGCAGGTGTCGCTCCAGACTCGCCCGGTTGGGGAGCTTCTCTCCGCAAGCCGGGCACGTGAGACAGTCCGCGGGGCTCAGATTGAGCGGAGCTGGGCTTTGGCGGTCCTCCGAAGGCATAGCGTCGGGGCTTTCCGCGCTGCGAAAAGCCTCCCCGAGGATTTGATTTTGGAGCGCTTGGTGTCCCAGGATGTGCTTCCTCAGGTACGCTTGGCGTTTGAATCTCTTCCCGCAGTGTTGGCAGTCGTAGAGCCCGTCCTCGGAGCCGGATTCAGACAGACCCGGGCTCGGGGTGTCTCTGTCGCTGGGGAACTCGGCTCTCAGCTCTTCGGGGAAAGGCTTGGCGGGTTGGAGGGCTTGTTTCGGCGCGCTCTGCACGCGCGGTTTGTGCCAGCGCCGGTGGGAGGCCAGGTTCGCCGGACAGCTGAAGACTTTCTCGCACTCGGGACACCTGTACTCCACCCGCACTATCCGTGAGCATTTGTGCTGTGCCAGAGAGAACGGGTCCGAGTATTCTTCTTTGCAAAGCTGGCAGATGAACTCTCCCAGAGGCTTGTTGGTGCCACCCGAAGACGGTCGGGGCTTCAGGTCCACGGGCCCCTCTTTGATTTTTAGGCCCAGCACCGGGGATGTAGTTACCTCGTCCTCGAAGTTGAGCTTGCGTATGGCTTTGGGTTTCTTGGCGCTTTTGCTGCTGACTTTACGCTCGGCGGCGTCAGCGGAAGGTCTTTTGGCTCCGGTCTGGATGGCGGGGGCGTGAGCGCCGCTGGCTGTTCCGCTCCGGTTACTGTTACTGGTGCCGATTTTCAAGTCGACCGGCGCGAACAGAAGATGATGGTCCAGGCTGGTGAGAGAGGCGGGAGTCGGGAAAGATTCGGCAGAGATGGGCGAGCCGAGGTTGAGGCTCCTTTCGAAATATTTCCTATCATGATCCTTGCTGACTGGCCGGGTGGGGCTGTACAGGGCTTGGTACACCGCCTCTGGGTTGCCGAACTGCACAGGCTTGTGGACGGGCACCGGCGCCTCTGCTCCGGCCGACGGGAACGCCAAGAGGATGCTGTCTGGCTTGGAGGCGCTGGGCGCGGGTGAGGATAAGGCGATCTGTGCGATCGGACATTCTGGAGTGGGTCCTCCATCCTCGTCTGTGCGTATCCGATACGAAACGAGCGCAGCTTTCTTGTTCCTTTTCACGAGGAATCCTTTGGGCATGTCGGCGGATGGATGGGGCGAGGATGACAAGGCACAACGAGATGAAATCCGGAGCCACGAACGCGCCGTCCGCCTCCCTCCCTATGAGAGATGCTTTTGCTCCTCAACGCATAGCTGCACTCTTTTTAAGCCGGAATGATGTTATTGTTCTCGCCCCTCATCGCTTCGTCCTCGTCCAATCAGGGGCGAGCGATGATCTCTGTGGAATTGCCCGTGGGAGGGCTGAGAGACTCGGACCGGCCGCAGCAGAGCAGATGTACCTGGCCTTTATTGTAGTAATGCGCGCAGCTCGCTATTCACGGTCTGATGGAGATGTATGGAGAGAAGCGCGTGCCGCGGCTGCAGGGGACAGAAGGAAATGTCACTCACGGCCATCATCATCCTCCTCCTCCTCATCATCAGAATTTCAAATGACCGACAACAAAGAAAGTTCTTTCTGAATGCTTATTTTAGAAGGAGAATGTCTTAACTTACATCTTAGTGTATTTCTGCATGAAATGTGTTATGTGGACTCGTTTTATAACTTTTAAACATGCAAATAATTTCGGCACACTATGGACAGTTAATATTAACTATTGCATATTGCAGAATAAATTGCACGTTGACGGTATATTTGCGTTTAATGAAATTGGATTTATATATAGTTATATATATTTTTCTGATTCTTTTAAGTATTTAAAGTGTATTAAGTTATTATGACATTATACACTGTCCGAAAAAAGGTTATTTAAAAACTGCACTTTGAAATGTCCCCAATATGAATAAGGTCCTTTAAAATATGTATCAAAAATAGTTATAAACACTAAACTAAAGGTAGAAAAAAGAAAACCGACAATTTACAGCCATTAGTGCCTTAAAATGCTTTGTCTTTTTTTTTAGTGTAAACGGTTTCACTGTTATTGTACAGGTTTAATCCAAAGTTTACGTAGAAGAAAATTAAATTGTAATTCAGTCAAATCTGTAATTTCATGTAGAAATGTGTGGACATTTGAAATTGTTTGTATCTGTTGGTTCACTTCTGTTACGTTATCTCATGTTATTAGTTCTCATTCGTGAAACACTGTAGGTTAAACATATCCACAGTGCTTCATGTGTGTGTGCGCACAAATGTGGACATTGGGAGAGATTTGTAATGCCACGCGTCTGTCTTAGGGCAGTATAAATCAGCTGGCTAACACATGCATAAGTCATCAGAAGAAGCCCTCATCTCTGCACACAATGGCCGCGTCTGGCCAGCCGTCACAGGCTTTTTTGCCTTTGAAAAGCAAATTGACCTCTACAGGGATACACGAGCAATCTGGCCAAAAGAGGGACGCGTGCTGGACACAATCAAAGATGATGGCTGACCTCGAGGTCAAGCCCTGGGTCAGCCATCATTGCATTTCTTCAAACACCATGACCAGTGACAACTCTGAAGCCCGTCCAGGCTTTTTTGGTACAATCTTGTGTCGTGTACACCTTCAAACACAGTCCAAAAGTCACACACATTTCCCGTAAATACAGCTACAACATATTCAATAAAATGACTTGCAAAATATGATTTAAATTGATAAATAGGTTTACAGGTATTGCGTCGTATCTGATAATTTCTCGAATGTTCGAATCATCTTCAAAATGCACAAAATGTTCTTTTACTTTTAAATAAAGTAATCAATGATGTATTTGGAGATGTGCACAATTGTTCAAATCTCCAATGAAAACCCAAATAGAAAAACAAAGTTTGCTTTTTGTACTTTTAAAATAACTTGAGCAGTTTATTATAAACAAAAGTATAATTTGTGATGCTTTCTTAGAAGCTTTCCAACGGATCTTATTTTCTGCTCTGTGAAACAGTTGCTTTAAATTCTCTTTTGCGCGCATAATTGGACAGACGTGTTGCACGGGTTTGCATTCAGCTATTGTCCCCCTCATTAGCATAAAGCTGCTGTATGACCGAGTCAAATAATTGCTCAGGCATTGAGATATGCGCCTGCCACCATTCTCCCCTGCAGTTTTGCAAATATTACAGCACTAGCTGAGTTCAGCAGGACAGAAATGTGCTTAAACTATAACACAGTTACGCGGCGCTTCATCTTAATTGTTGCTTTAAAACGCATAACTTAATCTTGATTTTAGATATCGCGCTCGCTCTCTCTTGATCAGAACATGTTTTGCTCTGTTAACATTCTCTGAAGTTTGTTTGTCTTGGTCTCACCCAACACAAAGCAATTCGATGGCATTTTAATGAGACTGCGTGCGTGCGCACCGGCCGTATGTGCGCGTGTTTGCTGTGTGGCGCGTGCTTGTCGCGTCTTATTTGCATACAGCTGCTTTGCCGGCGCGCGCCCCTCCCCTGCAGGCCACGAGCCCCCCTCAATGCGAGCACAGTGAACACTTATCAACATATTTCTCTAAACTCATAAGCAGACAAACGTGCGCTTTTAACAGGATGCCTCGAGGGGTTACTAGCTCACGTGGTTTCATGCCAAAAGTAAAACGCAGACTACATGATGAGAATGCTTTACAGCAGCTGTATAATCATTAGGGTTTCACGATTAGTTGTGCTTAAATATAACATAAAACAAACAAAAGTTATTCGAAGAGATATTTATTTTCTAAAGAGACATGCATGAGAAGGTTGATTAAATGTTTAGTACTCCGATTGATTTGGTTAATGTGTAGTGGTGCGGGTCATTTACACTGCTCCATCCACAGGCGGACAGAGGCTACTGCAGCACTCAACTTGAACACTTTTCTTCTCTGAATTATAACAGAAACGCAAAAATGATACATTTGTGGCTTGTTTAAATGTGTAAACGATCTTCTGTCATAAGCAAATTATGTCATAATACACAAAAAATAGCAAGTTTAAGTAGAAAAATGATAGCCATACTGTTAAATGAGAGCACTAGTAAATCTTGTTTTGAAGCATAGGTTATATCTGCATATATATCATTCGTTTTCTTTTTGGCGCACTACCTTTATTAATCAGGGGTCACTACAGCTGAATAAACCGCCAATTTATCCATTACATGTTTTACGAAGTGGATGTCTTTCCAGCTGCAACCCATTACTGGGAAACACCCGTACACTTATTTACACACATACACTACGAACATTTTAGCTTACCCAATTCACCTACAGCGCATGTCTTTGGACTTGCAGGAGCTGAAGCAGCCGGAGGAAACCCACGCGATAACGGAGAGAACATGCAAATTCCACACTGAAATGCCAACTGACCCAGCCGAGACTCAAACTAGGGACCTTCTTGTTGTGAGGTGACAGCCCTACCCACTGTGCCATATATATATAAGTATATTTTGAATCATATATTCAATTTTCAATTTACATAAAAACGTGTAACCTTTTTAGGGAAAGTAATGTAACATTTTACTTGAAGGGGTGTCATGAAAACTTTATAATCATGGCATGACAGGTCATGAATGTGAATGAGATTTTATGCATGCTTATTACAACTATTAATAAGTGTCATTTGCTCAGTCATTTGATTTTAGATACAAAGACGACATTGTTTGTTATGACAAATTTACATTACCAGAAAAACATAACTTATCATAAATCTATCATAAACATGATCTATTTATGTCAAATTGTCATAACAATTGTAGCCAGCCTGGGTGGTATTTTGTTTTCTCAAAAAGTGGACCTTTTTGCTGTGTTTTGACTCATTTTTTATTTAATTATGATATTTAACTACGGCAATTTAGTGACGTTTTAATTATTATTATCATTATTATTGCTGGATTGTCAGATGGTCGGATTAGCTTATCGCACACTTTTTGTTGTACAAAACATTTTTTTAAAAGATCAAGAATAAAGAAATATGAACAGACTGTTTATTTTAGGCTATTTTATGATGTATCAGTAGTGGAAAAATAGCAATCTGTTTAAGTTTTACATTTAAAACTGTGGTCTATTGTCATTTATTAGGCAAATTTCAAACTGGCCAGCCCTCTTAATTTTCCTCAGTCAGAATTTGACCATTTGGATAATAATAATAATAATAATAATAATAATAATAATAATAATAATAATAACTTAATAAAGTTTTCTTGTAAAAGGTACATTTGAAAATTCATAGATATTAACAATAGCTTAATAAGTATTAATATAGGCCGCTATCTTTTTTTTTTTTTTTTTTTTTTTTAAGATGAAGGTCCAAGATTTAGAATAAAGGTTACTTGTAAAATATTTTCTCTATAGCAGAGATGTCAAACTCAATTCCTGGTGGGCCGCAGCAATTAAACACAACTGATCAAACTAATTGAGTCCTTCAGGCTTGTTTGACACCTACAGGTAAGTGTGTTGGAGCAGGGTTGGAACTAAACTATGCAGAGCTGCGGCCCTCCAGCAATTGAGTTTGACATCCCTGCTCTATAATAACAGTACATTGAAAGTTGACTTGCATCACATTTCGCTTGGTCCTAAAGCCTTTTTCGATTGGTTATTTTGATAATTTATAATGGCATAGCAGTTAAAATAAGACTAATGAGCTCCTTCGAATCAACCGACCCCCCTGGCTACGGGCCTGCAGTTGTTATAAGCATGAATTAAAAAAAATTACAATTATGACATTTGTTATATCATGATTATAACGGTTTAATGACAGTCTTTTGAACACCTTTAAAGAAAACTGTTACCTTTGCTTTTAAAGAGTATTTATATATACTCTTATATAATATATCCCCCTTTTACCCAACATTTCCATCAGGGTGCTGAAATTGCTGCGCTCATGAGGCCGCTGTCCATGGTTCTGAAAGCAGCATAAGTTCTGTCTGCTTCCCTTGCACTGAAGGCACTTCTAACCGAGCTGACACCAGATGAAGGACATGCAGGTGGAACGTCAAACACTCGTTGACAGGCACATGCACGCAATTATGTCTGTGAAGAAAATAAACCAGCCTGTGTTAAGACTGCCGCACGACGCGTTTCCCGAACATAGCATTTCCAGCATTGACACACAGCTCGTTAGCTGCCATCATTTGCATTCCCGTGTAATTGTGCATCATCCTTGATTTGTATATGATCTTCCTTATTAGCCCATATAATGGGGTTAATAAGAGGCAGCTCATTGCACTTATCGTTCCTGTGCCGAGAGGAGGC